GGCAACCCGGTGCCTTGGCCTACAGGTTCATGGGCCTGTTGGGGATGCTGCAGAGTCTCTTCCTCGCACTGGTATATGCAATTTGGGGAAAACTGATGGGTGTGTGGAAAGAGCCCTTGACCTGCAGCCCATGACTTGCTAAAACCCTGAGCAAAGACTGCCCCCCCAATGTATTCATTAAAAAGATATGAGGAGTAGGTGGTTTCTCAGGGAAAGTGTCATATTTTATATTTCATCTGATTATATGCCCAGAGGTCATATGTACAATTACATATAAACTATATCCACCCCTCAGGAGCTCTGCCTTTTACTCCTTAACTACCTGTAACAGCTATCAGCCTGTACCGCAGTGAATTACCACTCCTTGTACCACCTTAGTTGTGCCAGGGGGTGGGAGGGCAATGCCCAGAGTGGAAGGCAGTAACAAAGTTGTGTAACTTGTCTAGAGATACGCAGTGACTTTTTCTTCTGCTAGATTGTGCTTGGACCATAGGCTCATCATGAAAAATTAACTACACTACACAAGAAATTAAAAAAGAGGTCTCAGCAAGTCACGACATTTTGCTGTGCTTAGAAGAGATGCCGCAATTATTGTGCAGTGGGAAAGTGCTGAGATGGTTTTAATGGCATCTGCTGTCTCTTGATTGACAGAGCATAAACATTTCAGAAATACAAGCAACAGCACTGCAGCTATAGAGCACCAGACAGCAACATTTACCAACTGCGACCGAGCTACTGCTATCAGCCACAAATTGCACATCTAGCACAGGGTTATTCTGATTTTGTTTGAGAAATGTCCTCTTTTGGATGAAGAGGTATTAGCAGCTTCACAAACACTGTCAGCTAATCAAAAAATATTAGAGAAACTCTCCACAGCTTAGTGGTTTTCTGTCACTTGCACTAGATGTTAGGATGTGTGGAAATGAATAAATGTATTAATACACAGCAGCCTGTCAGGAACCCTTGGCACACCATAAGCCCGTGTACTGCCTTTGCCAGTCAAATCTGCCTGATACTCTCAGCATTCCCTGACAGCAACCCGTTTGCATGGGAATCAGCACGGAGTCTGCTTTTAAATGGTAATATTTCACATTATGGTGCCTGACACTAATTCCTACCTAACCCATAAGTGATATTTCGTTTACAGGGCTGACGCAGATGTGCCATTTTATTTAGCTCACATTTACGCTCATTGATTTGAGCCACACTGTGACTTTTCTTGCAAAAAAACACAGCCCATAAGTGTGTTAATGACTGCTTATATAGATAGCAGGAGTGCTCACTAATTTCATCCCTACTAAGTTCTGCCTGCTGCCGTCCAGGTGGGTGAAACATGAGTTTCTGGACTCAGAAAGACCCTCGTTCTGGGACAGAAACAGGACTGCTGGACCACAGGCTGGGTGGGAAGGGAGGCCAGGGTGGTAGCGGGAGGGGATGTGAGGCAGCAGGGGAGGAAAGGGAAGAAAAGCACTGGTGGAAAAAAGAGGAAATAAAATGAAGACAAGTGAGGACTCTTTCTGGCAACTTCTTTCTCTTTTCCTTTCTTCTAAGGTCCTCGCAGGCTTTTCCGTCATCCCTTTTGACTGACAGCTTCCTACCTTCTCCCGTTTCTCTTTTCTCATTCCTCTACACTGGCCTTTTCCCTCTTCTGACACACACCAAAAAACGGTGGCAGTGACAGAGCCTGCTCTCAGCAAGGCACAAGCTGTGGGCAGTTGGGCCATACCCCCTGCCAGTTGGAAGCTACTCAAAACAGGGAACTGCAGTGTGGTGCAGTGGTGTCTTCCCATGCTACAACAGGGACAAATGCTGCAAATACGGATGCTACGCTGGAAATACTGGGTTATCGAAAGAGAAGCATTTGCCATCAAGACAAAGAAACTAATAACATGCCAGTCAACTGTTTTGTATAAAGATCAACAAATCTCTCCCATACAAAATGGGATGCATATCTGAACAGTAACCCTTTCTATGCTTTGGTGTCTGAAACAGAGCAGCTGGGTGGAGAGAATTTAGGGAGCGTTTTTAAAGGGAAACACATGTGGTTCGGGAATACAAAACCAATAGACAACCTACCTTCTGTTGACACTGATATTACATATTGATAATATGGAACTGTAGACCATGGAAGAAGACAAATTAAATAAGAAACAATCCCCTCTTGCAGTTATTTCTTAGTAGTAAATTCTTCTACTAAAAACTTTTACTAGCAGGAAGAACATGCAGTATCTCAGTATTTGCTCTCATATGCTTTCTTCTGGCACTGAAGACTTGTGACACTCTCTAGTACCAGTGCATGTTACAGGACTGCAGTTCTGCCTTGAGGGGAGTATCTTTTGGCATGAAACACAGCTCACATCCTGCTCCCAGTTACACCTATATGAAACCAAGTGCTGGATTTATTCCAGCAAAGGGAACAGAAAACAACAAAGCCATTTTTAAAGATACAACTGATTTGAAAAAAAGCTGAGATCTCATCACGGAATCAAAATAACATACTGCATGATACATGGATATGTACTTTACCTTCTGATATGTTCCAAAAGACATGCCTCACTTTGCTGCAAGCTGTATCTATGCATAAAAAAAGTCAGAGGAACTTAAACAGTGTCACAGCCTTAAGATTGATTCATGCGTTTGATCAATTTTATGACAAATTACCAGTCAGTAAAATTTAATACAAAAAGTTTTATACTGTGTGATCCTTGGGTAATGCCTGACAAATATAAAATGAGATTTTTCAGTAGCAGGTTTTTTTCAACTATTTAATACAAATTTCTTGCAGGTTTTGTGCATGACAGTATTTTTCATTGCTTTTGAACTTCAGTGGCAATATAATATGTCTTTATACGGAGACTACCAAGACAGTTTATTTGGACAGAGAGTAATATTTATGTTGTTATTCTGCTGGTTCTTATTAGATTCATATGCACATAACTATTTAATGTTTTATGTCATTGCATCTTTGAAATGTTAATTGTTCAGTAAGAACAAAACACATTTAGGCTAACTTTCCCTTTTGGTATTCCTGCACTAACTATGGGATGAATTAACCTTAGTTATCTGTGAAGCATCACATACACTTACAACACTCAGCAAGTAATAAGCCAAATTTTGAAGTTTCTCCAAAGCTCAAAATATTCTAAGTCCCATGTCACTATATTGGTGCACAGCAGTCCTGAGGGACACCTCTTTCCGAGGTATAGGTTGATCCATCCTGTTCTTTTTTGTTTCTCCATCTCAGTAAGACATTAGAGCTCTGTGCCTCAGTAAATATAAGTGCACCTCAGCTACTTACTTAATGTATTTTGCAATAGAAAACCTGGCAGACACTTAAAAAATCAACCCTCTGCAGAGGCTAAAATCAATTGCCAACTTCTGGTTTTACTCAGTCTTGAAGTCGACTCCTACTGAGTTTGACCTGCCTGAGTAGAAACTCAGGGCAGTAAGGGCTTCAGCATTTGGCAAAATAATAAGTTAAAAAAAAAAAAAAAAAAAAAAAGTGAAGCCTCTCTTTAAGGAAAATATCAACATCACAGTATCTTTGATTCTCCATTGCCCAGCATCTAATTTAGTCACTAGACAAGTGAAAGAAAATGAGTGTTCAGAAACACTATGGACTTGTATAAGGTCCTCGAGTTTCTCCAGCACTCCTTTATGCTAGGTTCAAGGGCTAGCTTTCTTTTTAAATAGCCCTAGAAGATCCAGTCTGAACCAGAGCAGGATTAGCTGGCTGTGTAAGAAGCCCCTGGAGAGGAGAGGAACACACAGAGCTGCAGCACTGCCAGGCAATGAGCACTGCTCCAGCCCATAGTACAAACCAGGAAAGCTGCCATCACCAACAGATGAGCTTTAGAAAAAGGAGCTGAAATAGTTTCATATATGCGTGCCCACGCGCAGTGCCCACCCTACATCTCTGATGGGCGATATATGGTAGAAGAGAGCATGTCCACACATCTCCGTTGTTTGGTATTACAGCCCTGGACTGAGAACCAGCGCAGCCGAGATGCTGCTCGCATTTGCTCCTACCACCGAGGCAGTAACCTCCAGCAAAGGAGCAGCGCTGACAGCATGGAGCAATAACTTCTAAAGACCACCACAGATGTTTGCTTCAGTGCCCACAAAACAAAGCCTCTGGGGAAGCCACCGGGGTGGTGTTAATCACAGCAGGATCCTCTCCAGACACCAGAATTCCTCAGGTGCGCAATGGCAGAAGAGGTGGCTAAATGGTACAATAAGCTCCTGTCCTGCCTACACCAGGCACTTCATCCTGGGACTCATGATTTAGACCCTTTAAGACCTGATAGAGCTTGGCCATGCTGGACACTGGGAAAAATATAGGCACAATGGGATAAATTTATTTTAACAAACTAAAAATGTATTGTGCTTTTGGAAAGAAATTCATAAATATTATGCTTCCATGGAGTAAAAACAATATGTAACGATGTATTTTCTGCCCCACCTTAGAAAATGGGTTCCCAACTCCAAGATTACATAAATGTGTTAGTGAGCACAGTTTTACATGTACATAATTCCTTCTTTTTCCTGGTGTATTTGCAGGTAAAAACTTCACTGACTTGTGCAATAGTTCTTACATATTTGTAATATATTTCTACCTGAAGAGCAGCAAATTATAAAAGCAGATTCTGTATAAGCTATCAGATTTCTGCAGGGGAAAAAACAACCAATAATGAAAAAAAACCCCAACCACAAAACCAAGCAAACACTGATCTCACATTTAAAACTGTTTTCCTGACTTTTTCTCCCCAAAAATGCATAACATTAGTTGTGTAAAAAACTAAACCACCATATGAGGCATATTTTAAAGCCTCATATAAACAATGAAGCTTTTATGGCATCCTCAGAGCAAAGAATGTCCAAATATGGCTGAGAGTTAAGTACCCTGAGAATTAACTGCTCTTAATAAATTCACTGAAATTTGTAAGTCCACATTTACCAAGAATCAGAAAAGAAATAAAGGGAAGAGAACGTGATTCAACTCATTTTCCTGTACCATTCTCTAAAGATGTTGTGTTATAAGCATCCTCCATATCTTGGATGCTGGACGCATCTGTTGAATCTTGGTCACTGACTACAATTCCTACTGAAGAAAGGCTAGAAATGAAGGAGTGCATCTTTTTTGCATAAATATCCCTAATGTTAAAATAAGGTAGGTCATTACATTTCTCTTTGCGATCATTGTTGCATTGGTCTGGATCAATATCTTTTTGTTTTTGATAGTACTTAGAAAACTTATTGAAAATAATGGTGATTGGAAGTGCTACCACTAGTATCCCACAGATGATGCATAGGGTGCCAAGCAGCTTTCCAGCAAGCGTGACCGGGTAAGTGTCCCCATAACCAACAGTGGTCATGCTGATGGTTGCCCACCACCAGCAAACAGGGATGCTGTGCAGTTCTGATGAGTCATCATCCTTCTCCACTGAGTAGACGAGCACTGAAAAAATAGAAATCCCAACAGACAAAAACAAAAGCAGGAGTCCAACTTCCTGATAGCTATGTCTCAAAGTGGCACCTAAAGACCGCAGTCCTACGGAGTGCCTGGCCAGTTTCAGGATGCGAAATATCCTCATTAACCGCAGGATTTGAACCACTTTCCCCATATTTTCAATATCTTCACTTTCTTCTTCCTTCGTGTCCACAGCCAGCGTGGCATAAAATGGGATAATAGAGACAAAATCGATGATATTCAGTGGTTTCTTCCAGAACTTCTTTTGACTTGGAGCAGTGATGAGCCTGATCACTAGCTCAGCAGTGAACCAGATGATGCACGTAATCTCCACAGCTTCCAAAACAGGGTCTTCAATCTCCCTGTCATTGGCATCCAGCTTTTGAAACTCTGGCATGCTGTGAATGCACATGGCCACGATTGATGCCAGGACAACACTCAGGGACGACACGGCAATTAACTTGGCAGACAAGCAGTATGCAGGATTTTCCATTCTGACCCAGATCTTCTTTCTTATTTCACCAAAACACAGATTGTCAAACTTTTCCAGCTCTTTGTCAAATATGGATGACTCTTCATTAGAGGAGTCTATACTTCTGTCATTGCTCTTCTGATCCCAGTCTTTCTCAGGACCTTCTTCTTTCCTCTCTTGGTACAGATTGCTGCAGCAGGAATCAATAAACAGCTCATTTATCCCCCAGTACTCTATTTCCTGGCAGAAGGAAAAGACACAAAGTTCTTCCATGACATGAAGTTTACCTGTATAGTAAAAATTCAGAACGTATCGGAACAATGAAGGATTCCTGTCGAAGTAATATTCCTTTTCTGCAACACTATAATCATCACACAGTTCTAGAATAGCCTCTTCTGAATGGCATTTGAGAAGTTTCCCAAGTCTGGTATGGGGAAATCGGAGCAAGGTGCTCTGGTCCACTGATTGCTTAAAGCCACCCACATTCAAATTGATAAGTTCTGCATCTTTGCCAGGTCTGTGGAAAAATTCACCATAAACCATTTTGAACAGACAAGTTCTACTGCTGGTGCCCAAAGAGATTACATTGAACCTGAAAAGAACATAAGATATTGTTAGAGCATTTAAATCAGTTTTGCTCTTGTGACACATTCTTTTTTCCATCCAAGGTTACTGTGAAATGCTATAACAAAAAAGAAATGAAATTATGAATACCATTATTCAGCAGTTCACAGAAGTAGGTTTAAGTCAGTTTGATAGTTTAACACAGCTTTAGCAAATTTGAAAGAAATAGGTTCTGGTTTAGCTCTCCTTAATTTTTTCTAGTGTGGAGGCAGAATGTCTAATTCATCAATAAATCAGTTTCTGTTCTACTATCCCATTGAAATTAATAGTCAAGAAATAAGTTTACTTCAGTGACATAAAAAATCTTTAGCTTAAAGACAGAAAAATTGTCAATCCATCAAAATATTTAGGACAAAGCTTAAGGCAGGTGTCTCAATTATGGTTTCAGTAGAGTTGTATTGATTTGTATGATGTTGCAATTTGTAATCCACTACTTTCAACATTATCTGCTTGAATGTGGACTGCAATTACTTCTGTTGTCATATCAATTAATTTCTTTCTAGACTCATCCACAGAAGAGCATTCTGTATTCTTGAAAACATCAAATGCACATTTGAAGCTTTCCAATTCCTGACTCTGGAGTTTTGTCTAGTACTTATTTCAGTATCTGCACTCCCTGAAGGTATTTTTCTACCTGCCTTCCTACTCACCTGGAGTGTCACAACCCTCTTACGACTTTGGTCAGTTCCAGAAGCAATTCCTATTCTGCCATGGTATAGCCACAACCACTATGGTAATGCTGAGAAGTTGGTGTTGAAATGCCATTTCTGGAAAGAGGAGCTTCCAGAGATGGAAATTCCACAGAAAATTCACCTTAGTAAGTAAGTGTGGATACCTGCAGATAGACAGAAGGACATTTCAGTGTTTTCATATTTTACTGTAAGTTAAATCATACAGCTGAAACTGAATTCAAAAAGGCAGATATAGTTACTAGCCAATAAGTTAACTTTTTCAGGAGAACTTAACTCTTGCTTTCCTTCTAAGGAACAGTCATCTTCAAGCCAAAATTGGAAGTTCTTACACTTGTCAAGATTATATATAACTTCTGATCATAAGGAGAGCAATTTTTTTTTATATCTCTGACACTTAAACATTAATTGATGTATACTAAGCTAATTTACTTCAATTTAATATGGAAGTCACTGAATTTTAAATGTGACAAGAGAGCATTGTAATTCTCCAGTCCTAACAGATGGACTCGTATCATGCAAAGAAATTGCTTTGGTGCTCTTTAATGGCTTGGGCAACCTACTTGAGGAACAGACAGTAATTTCTATACCTGTCCATCTTTCAGTGCTTCCTGCATTAGCACCAGTTATGAGTCAAAGCTGGGATATGTTAGAGTTTGAATATTTTTGTTGCTTCTCAAGGTCTCCTCACTCAGTTAACAAAGGTCATTAAGATTATGTCTATTTCCCTGTTTGTAGGGTGTGCACCATGGCTGCATGGCTGCATCCCTCCTGTAGGTCAGCCTGAGAGAGGAGCACCAGCACCGCTTTGCATAAAGGAAACCTGGGCATTTTCCTCAAACAGGAGTCACTGTAGACTTCAGTAAGTGCCAGAGTGGATGGCTGGGACACTGGGCCTCAAGGGTAAGCCCTACTTTACACCACCAGAACAAGTAGCAGGCAAAAGAAAAAGATAACTCTACCCCACAATCTTTATTCACTGTCAGCTAGAACAATTCAGCTTTCATTCAGCCTCAGGTACTTGTATTAATGACTAGTTCTTTCCAGCCATATAGCTCCACTCCCTGAATTTGTAAAGACAGCAAGTGTTTTCTTTCCGTAGCTTCAAATAAAAGACTAGAGCCATGGGGTCTTGTAGACAAGGGAAGACTCGACGGAGCTGAATTGACCTCTTGATATGAATCAAATGGGAATACCCTGAACCGAGATAAGTCTTCATTTCCACCACTGCTAGCTACAGCTCCATCAGTCACCTGAAGTAACTTGCTATGCAACTTCTTAGGCACCACTATCTAATCCGGAACTGACTTCCTCATCATTTTTAAAACAAACTGACTGAACTGGTTGCATCGCGGAGGTAGAGCAATTTTCCAGCTACTGATCCCAAGTATATCATCCCAGATGGGAGGATCCAGCAAGTCTGCTTGCCTTGGAGGGACCCACTCTGCTGCAGAGCTCCCAACCTCCTTTTATTCCAGCAAAACCTGAAGGGAGACAACCCCATCCTGCTTCACAGTAGGGTCAACCCTCATACGCAATGTTGTCCTTGTCACTTGTTGATTATAGCAAAAGATGGAAATGGGAAAAGCCTTAAAAACTGGATTCAAACTTCTGATTAAATGCCAAGGAGAGGAGAAGGAAATGGGGATACAGATCCACGCTGGGAGGGAAAGCACCAAACTGCCCAGAGAGCTGAAGAGTTTATCAGCCAGAAGTTGAATCCCTCCAGCTAAGACTGTTTTGTAGTATCTCTAATCATCTGCAATGACTTATTTTCTCTGTGATGGAGAACACCTACTGTTTAGAGGACCAGCAACTCCCTGCAGCTGCCATGAAGGAAAAGACTTCTGTTGCCTTCTTGCCACTCCAGTGCCTTCAAGACAGGGTGAGAACAGAGAAATAGATCACTGGGAGCCTCTGGTGGCAGGGTTTCAGGGCACGAGTTAAGGCACATCAAGTTTTAATAAAGATCCATTTTTCTGTTTAGGGGGAGGTTACAAAGGACTTTCTAAGCCATGATCTTCTCACTCGCCTCGCCTTTAACTTCCAACAACACACAAGGGTTTCTTTAGGTTTGTCACAAACATCACTACTCAGTGCAATTGTTTCTTACTATTTTCCTTGTATTATTTTTTGGTAGTCCTTCATACAAGTAGGAACACAGGGTTTGATGCTATAAACCTCACGTATTCTGCTTCTCCATGGGACTCATTCCAACTAAAGCTACTGAAAATCTTATAGTAATCTCCCTTTGTATAACAACTACTGACATGTATAACACATGAACAGCTAGGCCCAGAAGATGCTGAAACTATGTGTTTGTTCTGGTAATTAATTCTGCAAAAACAGATCTCTATCCAGAGTGAGCCTTATTTATATAGTGAAAGAAAAATGTTATTTTGAGAAATGGGAAGAAGCATTTCTTTTTCTGGACACATTACAACTCCCTTTAAACAACTTATCTCAAATCCAAATTAGTTTGAAACATTAATTTCACTGTGTGCCTAGCCTGCCATACAGTCAAGATAAAGTTCTTGTTCTGCTAAGACATAGGGGGGTGGGGAAAGCGCTGTATGAGACATACTTCTTTCTAACTAAGTAAGACAGAGAATAGTCAGTTTTTATGGCATGATAAACTGTGTACATAGAAGTGATTTTACACCTTAAAATGTAGTCTGAAGACAGGTATTTACTAGCTAACAGAATGACTGTAAGACACAGTTGCTCCAGGCATTTCCCAAGGCTCAGCTTTTAGGAAAGATTAAGACATAAAATAAAAGCACTGATCTCTACTCACAGATGAAGGGCAGCAGGACTCAGCTGGTAAACAGTACCACACTTCACTCATGATCTAGAGCCAAGCTGTATTTTACAACACTAAAAATTAAAAAAAAAAAAAAATCTCATGGACTGGAGGTCAAAGTATATTCAAAACCAAAAAGACTCAACTTATTGATTAATTCTGGTGAGTAAAATCTCTACTTCACTTTCAACAATTCATTAAGATGAGAGCACTAGCAATGTAAGCCAGTACTATAAAACCAGGCAAGATGTCAGATTATCTGGGGGTGCTTCTGACCCTAACAAAAACTAAGCAAGTTTTACTCAGAAATAACTAAAGCAAGAACTTAGTGCTCAGCAAATCCTTGGGACACTACACTCTGACTTACTGTTGAGACAATAATATAAAACCATATTGATTATGCAGATGATATTCATAATGGCGCCTGCATGTAATTGCTCTGTATAATAAATTTAGAGAGCAACAATTTACTGCTTTGTTTTGAGGGCACTGTAGTCATAATTTGTGCAAGATACAGAGAGAAAATGGATCTTGTTTAGGAAGGCCATGATCCAGAACCTGCTATAATACTACTATTAAGTGGTTTTTAGATTAAGTCAAGGACGTACAGGAAAGTTTCATGATAACTATGTCAAGAGGAGCTTAATGATCTGAAGAATGTCTTGTTCGGCTTGCAGGGACCTTGATCCCTGAGCCATGGACCAGGACATTGTTGTGCCTGGCACCATCAGAACAATTTGTGGCATTTAAACAAGTGACTCCAGCCACAGGGCAAAGACCACAGATGACAACTTCTGTCTCAGCACAACATGCTCTCTACTCAAGGGAACCCTTTACTCACTCAGTCAACTTTTTTACTCAAGGGTAAAACTGTGCTCAGCTGGAAATAATGTTTTCCTGGAGCGCCAAAGCCTGTGTCATGAACATCCTAAGAACACAGAGCTACCACATACTTTGCAACTCTCAACTTGAAGTGCAACATTAACTTCTTTGATCTTTTGTAAACAACAAGTATTCATATATAACATAACAAACTGCTAACCATTCCAAAGCACACACTTCTTGCCCTGGAGAGAGTATAAGAGAGTAAGCAAACACATACCAGATGTTAGTTACTCGGTTGCTTTAATTGCTTCAGTTGTTTCAATAAGCTACTGGATAAGAACGCATATAGAACAGAAAATGAAACAAAACACAAAAGAAAGATGCTTACTGGAAGAATCAACATTATTTTCTGAGATGATGAAAAAACCCAACAAATAGAAGTTCCAAATGTTAAGCTTGAGGGCTAAATAAAAGCCAGTCATAAGGAAAGCTGTGTGAAGAGGATACAAACATTAGAATAAAAAGCAAAACGACAGGATCCAACTCTTCCCAGTCCAATTTGGAGATGGGCTCAAGCCAGCGCTTCTGCAGTCATACATTGTTGGTGAGGCCACAGGCCCATTGTCTGGCTTGGAAGGGGGATTGCAA